TCAGTGCAGTTGTGAAGGGCTCCTAAAATTAGATGGCTGTGACTTAATTGATTTCGGGATATTATTGCATTTCTGAATTAGAAAATGGCTCAGGAAAAACATCAAGTGAGTGATGAGCTCGAAGGAAGCTGGCCCCTCGAGATCTTTTCAAACCTCCTCAATGGATGGAAGCAGACTACAGATGAAATTTCCATCAAGACACCATTACTAGTCTTGTCTGTCCAACACCAGGCTTGCCAAATGTGCTTCCTATCTGGACACATAGAGGAATGGCTTCTGCATTCTATGCTGTGGGAAGCTATCCTACCATGGACCAAAATAGCAGCTTCTTTGACAGTGTTAATCCTGCACTAAGCCTTTCTTCAGGTAAATTTTCTGTCTAAAAGACCCTTAAATCCCTTAAGTAATTTGTAGGGAAAAGGATAAACTCTGAAAAGAAAATTTGATAGATACATTTAAATTGTTGGAAGAACCCCCAAAGCCTACCTGGGTTTACTATATAATTTGCTATATGTAACTTGGTGTATAATTCTCCATATTTATTTGCTTAAAAATAATCAAAAATTTAAATTAAATATCGAATCTACCATCCAAATTTATTGTACAAGTAAGCTTAAGATCTGATGTCTAATGAATACTTTTCTAGATATTTGCCTTGTAGTCACTTTCATTGTCACCTTTTTTTGCTTTCCATTTGTGTTTTGACTTGGTTTATGAAGTTGTTCACCAGAGATAAAGCCTTGTGGAGTTTAACAGGAATGAAACTCCTTAATGCAATCTTTTCCTTTTTAGAAATATTTATATGTTGAAATAAATTGATCAAAAAATAGTTGCTAAACAGCAAATATGCACCTGTTAAGAATTTATGTTGCATTTTAAAATTTATAGAAGACATTAGATATCATTTAGTAACATTGATACTTCAAGTGAAAACAAAACAAAGCAAAAAATACTCTTGATTAGTGTGGGCAGTCACTGAAATCTGAAATAAACTTATTAGTCTCTAAGGAAAAAGAGGTGGAGTTGACCTTGATGTGTTGTGAAATATTATAGAGCATAATTATGGGTACCAGTGATACCAGAAGAAACAAGAATTTTCAAAGTTTTGGGGAAATGCTAAGCTCACACCAATTATAGAAAAGCACTCTCATCTTTCAGGGACTTTTCCTCTCAGGGATTTTGAATGTCCCTCATCTATCATGCCAATGATAATCACACCTCACAACCTGACTGCTTTTAATTGCTTTTACTGGCGTACCTCAGTCAGAGGACCCAAAACACAAGTTGAGATTTCTTACCCTTCCTGGTCATCTGAGGGGCATCAGTCATCTTTTGAAAGCAATAGGTCTGCAGGCTACCTGGGAACTGTGGGGCTTAGGGTACCACGCTGCTTTTGGGCGAGCATGTGGCTTGTGGTATGTCTCATTTCAACCCTGCTGAGAAAGTGTTGCAGTGATAGAAGATATGGAAAGCTAATGTCTTTTACAGTTTTTCTCTTATCATATAATGCCATGTGGCATGTGACTATGTGCTTCTTTTCGCGGGAGGATTTGTATCTCTGTCAAACATATCCACCTGTGTCCCCGAGCATCAATCCTGAGCCTCATGCTCAAGTTTTCTTCAAGCTGGAACCTTCACATTTTCTCTCTCTTTAGAATTCAGAATCTACAAGCTTGGAGTCTAGGAGAGGGGAGCTAGTGTCACAGGTAAATCACAGTAACTTGGAACCACTGTGGGACCACAGATATCTGTCTCTCATAAAACTCTCCTCCAGAAATGTTTCTATTTGTTTATTTTTATCAGCTTTTTTAAAAGTGTCACTGTAAATCCAAATCTCATAATGAAATAATGTGGTGCAGTAGGTTGATCCCATTGGGGACAGGGCTTCTTCTAACACAAACTGATTCATGTCTAGGAGTGATCCTTCTCACTTGAGGAGAGCCCGATGTAGGGACAAGAAGCTCCTACGTGGCACCAGGCACAGCTGGGGATGCTCACAGCATGTCTATCCTGCAGGCCTGCTGAATAGGCTGGCCTTCTGACTGTGAAGGTCAAGTGACACATTCACTGAAAGTCCATAAGAAACATCTGTGAGTCCTCTTGGCTACTGTAATATGCTAGTGAACTGCTGAACTAGAAAAGCCAATCAGGAAAAAAAAATCATTGCTTCAGCAGTTAAATTAGCATTTCATTATTTTTAATTGAGTGATCTGGTACCTCCCTGCGAGCCACACTTTGCAGAATTTCAATAAAGACAGGCCAACTGTAACGAATCTGAACACTTTATTACAACACATTCCAATTTTCAAATGCTGACTTATTGCAGCTAATTAAATGCATTACTGTCCCATATAGTTTTGCAAATTGAGCCACTTTGGTGTGCTGGAGATCAATGAAGTATTAATAATAGAATTATTCTCCACTTATGGTCCCTGTGGACACACAAAAGTAACCATGTATCCCCGGAGCACCCTGACTACTCATCCTAGATGAAGCAGCAGTCATGTGAATGATCACAGCAAGTAAATTTCTTTCCTCTGAGGTCAGCAACCACAGCAGTGGCCTTAGGAAACTTGCAAATGGAAAGAATCTCAGCACCTTCGTTCAGTCTGTTGCCAAGGCCCAAATGCATCTTGCCTTTATGTAGGTTGATACTTGGTTCACAGACTACAGACAGTTCTTGCTCCTTTCATTTCTGTGCAGACCACTATCTACATTGGTCACATTCACGTAAGAAACATTAATATACATTATATCCATAAAAGTGATAATAATTTAATGTTAAAACAACCAATTTTAAAATATTTAAATCTCCAATCACCTCAAAAGTTTAAAAAAATTATTTATCTTATTATGATTCTTATAGGCTTAATTACCTATATTTTCTAAGTGTCTGCATATCAGATACATAAAAGGATTTTTTAAAGTCTGGATCCCAGTCTTTTCTAGTTCAAACCCCATTGTCTATTACACGCTTTCAAACTCACTTCTTGTTGTGTTGCCATGACTCTGTACCCACTAAACATATTCCCCACTGCCAGTCATCTCCACGTGGGTTTGACTGATACAGTCAATGAAACATGGTCACCATGACAATGTTCTACCTGAAACAATCCAATTTTTAAATAAAAGGAATAACTTTTTCTCTAACAGAAAATTTTATTATCTTTTAACTGATTTTTTCTGTTCTGATTTCCCCATAATGTTCTTCCAAATGTAGAATATTTTATTCTTGAAACTTCTTTATCATTTTACATATTCCTTTATTTTACATATGCTCTGTAGATGTTTATGTGTTTTATATATCTATTTATTTTACATATTAATAATTTTATCATACGTTATACATTTGCATATTTTTATATCTATCTTTTATATTTTACATATAAATTGTAATTTCATATTTTAAAACTGTTTCAGTGAGCATAAGAGTCTAAGGGTTACGTTTTTCAAGACTCAGTTATGATTTACAACTGTTATTATAACACATTTGATTAGATTAGCACAAATATATTATCAATGTTAATAATTATTAAGCACAGAAGTAAATTTTATTGGAATTAACTTATTGATGAGATGGATGGAAATTTAAATTAGTTCATGCATCAGTTGGGTGAACATTACTGGTTTGGCCAAGTGACCACATGTCCCAGTGATCTGAGACAATCCCTATTTATACCTGTTATCACAATATGATTGTTAATAGTTAATAGTGCTCCTTTCACTTCAAAAGTTTTCCACTTTTGATTGTGAATTGTGTGGTTGCCCTAATTACTGGAGAATGATATGGTTCAACAGCAATGCCATGCTCATTTTTGCTTTTGCCAATGAAAGACGCCTAGAAACTTACTCATGTAAATACACCCTTGGAAACAGAAGTTTTGTCATGCAATGAAACTTAGTTCAAAATTCTTTCTGAGATTTATAAGAAAATGAACATATAATGAGCTGTCATTGAGATGACTTTAATAGACCCATCAGCAAACAATTCAATAAGATGGTCCTTCAACTTTTTTACACAAAAATTGAAAATATCTGATTTACCCAAGGATTAGTTACCAATTTTTGTCTTTCATTTTCTCAACTTCTATGAAATGCCCAAGATTTAGCAAATGACTCTTAATTATACCATCACCACTTCTATTTAGAGACGTAATACTTCACACAATATACTTAGAAGTAAGTGTAAAATAAAAGTATAGTTAAACATAACTTCACCTTGTTTTGATCAATATATTTTGATCAATAGAACAAGACTGAAGCTTGGTCTATGTATGGAAAAATGGAAAATATGGCCATTTAACCTAACTGGCTGAGTCCACTCTCACTGTCAAATCAATCAACTAAATACAATTTATTTTCTCTCAGAAAAGGCCTAACTTTATTTTAATTTCAAATAAATGTATCAATGGTTCCTTTAACTATCTTACTTCTGAAATTAGAACATTCCAGCGAATTCCATTGTTCCCACAAGTTCATTCTTCTGATGGACACATAGAACAAGAAAAGGTAGGACATTCTGGGTGGTTTCAGGGTACTTTGATTAAAGTGTGTTTAATATCACAATATTTCAAATTGTCTTTTTGGAACTCCAGATGTTTCTATCCTCCAAAGAAATGCCTCCAATACATTCTAGACTTGCCTTTGAAAAAAAACAAAAGTAGGATAAAGCTCCTGGGAAGGGAATCAGGGAGGAGCACATGCAGGCAGCACACCTCCAGATAGATGCATGCCAGGCTTAAGAAAGGATGTGTATGGGATCTGAGGCTTTGGAACAGATGCCCTTGAGACCAGCTGTGACCATGCACTCCTAGGAAACCTTTTGGAACCTCCAGGAAGGTATGCCCTAGTTGCAGTCTTCCTTAGGCCTGGGGTCTCGGTAAGTCCTCTTGCCCCCCACACTCATTTTCCTTGAGAATGGTGCATTGTATTTATAGGGACTTATGTCTTCTTTTTTCTTCTCCCCCATCTCAAACGCATCCACACCTTTGTTTCCACAGAGACCATCCCAGATGGGGAGCTTCCAACACAGCCCTGGCACGATGGCTGCCACCCATCTACGAAGACGGCTTCAGTCAGCCCAGAGGCTGGAATCCCGACTTCTTATACAATGGGTTCCCACTGCCCCCGGTTGGTACCTTACAACACTGCTTACATGGGATTGGAACTGGTTCCTATAATGCTAACATATAGCCCATAATGTTGGAGGAAACTAACCTATTCCCGGTGCTTCATGTAATTCCTGTTGACCCTCCTGACTGCCCTTTGAGGCAGGGATCACTGTCTGCACTGTGTAGTTTACAAACCAAGGCTCTGAAAGGTTAAACTCACTCAGTGGAGGGAACAATGCAGATTTAAATTGTTTCATCTAACTCGAACATCTCTGCTCTTGAAAATCACTTCAAACCGGGTTCGGTGGCTCAGCCTGTAATCCCGCGCCTTTGGGAGGCTGAGGTGAGTGGATTGTCTGAGCCCGCGGGCTCGTGACCCGCCTGGGCAACTTGGCGAGACCTCATCTCTACAATAAATAAAAAAATCAGGCGGACGTGGTAGCGCGCACCTGTAATTCCGGCTACTCCAAAGGCTGAGGCGGAAGGATCGCTGGAGTCCAGCGGGGTCGAGGCTGC